ATTTTATGAGGCCAGCATCATCCTGATACCAAAGCCTGGCAGAGACACAACAAAAAAAGAGAGTTCAACCATTGTGGAAGACAGTGTGGCGATTCCTCAAGGATCTAGAACTAGAAATACCATTTGACCCAGCCTTCCCATTACAGAGTATATACCCAAAGGATTATAAATCATGCTACTCTAAACATGCACACGTATGTTTATTGCGGCACTATTCACAATAGCAAAGACTTGGAACCAACCCAAATGTCCATCAATGACAGACTGGATTCAGAAACCGTGGCACATATACACCATGGAATACTATGCAGCCATAAAAATGGATAAGTTCATGTCCTTTGTAGGGACATGGATGAAGCTGGAAACCATCATTCTGAGCAAACTGTTGCAAGGACAGAAAACCAAACACCACATGTTCTCACTCATAGGTGGGAACTGAACAATGAGATCACTTGGAGACAGGGTGGAGAACATCTCACACTGGGGCCTGTTGTGGGGTGGGGGGAGGGGGAGGGACAGCATTAGGAGATATACCTAATGTAAATGATGAGTTAATGGGTGCAGCACACCAACACGGCACATGGATACACATGTAACAAACCTGCACGTTGTGCACATGTACCCTAGAACTTAAAGTATTAAAAAAAAGAAAAGAAAACATGAATATAATACATAAACATATGGGGACCTTGCCAGAGAAATTATTTTTCAAATAAAAATTGTAGCAGTCATTTAAAAATCATTCAGATATAAATGTCTAAACCATGCTGCCCAACATAAGTATGATCCAAGCCATAGGCAGAAGCCACATACGTAATTTTAAATGTTCTCATAGATACATTTTTTCAAGTTTTTTTTAAAAAGTTTATTTAGTGATGTGTTTTATTAACCCAACATGTCTAAACATTATCATTTAAAATGTAATCAATGCAATAATATTTTTGAGATTTTATATTCTTGTTTTGTACTAGGTCTTTGAATTCTGGTGTGTATTTGACAATTAGAGCACATACCAATAGCCACATGTTAAGTGCTCAATAGCCAGGCCGGCTAGTGACTAGTGGCCGCTGTATGGGACAGCACAGATCTAAACCTTGAAGTCCACTTAACACCTTTTCTAAAGACAAAATACGTGGTTTTTATCCAGCACTTAAATCATTAATTATGGCTTTAAAGCAGAAGGCAAGTTCTGGTGCATTAACACAACTGATTCTGTATTTGAGGGGTTTTTTCCCCTGATTTATTTCCAAGCCACGGCTCTAGCAAAGTTGTATTGGAAGCTTCGATATGAAAATTTAACGTTTTATCTCTTCTGACTCAAACTTTTTGAGATTTAAATACCAAAAATTATATAAAATTATTTTTTACTGATTTTATATAATCAGTAAAATGCAAATCAGAAGGTTCAAGAATTCTACACTCAGAGACCACTAGGCATGACTGCCCTAGCCCATGACCCTGAACTCTGTCTGCCTGCCTGCTTGTCCACAAAACAGGAAAGGCCATCTCTGCAGCATCCCTAGTGCCCAGCATAGCACCCAGCTCACAGAAGGCATCCAATCAGAATGTGATGAGCAGTAAACACCTGGACCTGAGTAAGTCAGAACAGAAACACCTAAAGGCATCAATGAATTCTCTGTGAGGAACTCATGTTCCCACTCCTCCAAACCCTACCACTCGCTCAGGTGCTATTTCCTGTTTCCAATGTGCTCTCCCCATGTAAATTTTTTCTGGAACAGGCCTGTGCTCACAGGAGCCTATGTGCCTTGACTATTCTTATTTCTCCAAAAGCCTCATCGTTCTTAAACCTAACATAAGCCTTTACATTTTGGTGTTTCCAAGATGAGTTCAACTAAAGATGAACAAAAATAGAGGAGAGGATAGACCTGTTATAATTTCTCTGCTTTATCATCGACAAATGGGAAGAGTTTTAAAGTTACCTTTGGGTTGTTTCTTCATCCTGATACGCGTCCTTTTAAATCTTAATGAAATATCATGGAATACTGGAGGGTAAAAACATAAACACAGAAGGATTAAGTGTGTGGCTTTAATAAGCCTTGCAAATATCGCAAAGCAATTTATACTAGCCTCAACAGCCAGCACATACTGACCGAAGATAAATGGTAAACTCTGATTTCATTCACTTTAGTAACCTTCTTAGATTTGTTTTCACACTTCATATATTTGTAAGAGTGTAGTAAGAGAGAAACACAAAGATATTAATAGAGATATATTACCACACATATTTTAACAAATGTAATCCTGCAAATTTTAAAAAAAAATAGATTAACACTCACTTGTATGGTCTTCATATCGTTCTATATAATGCAAACGGTGAACTGCTCTGTTCTTTGCCTGAAAGAAGGAAAATGTTTTTCTTAAATCTATTGTTGAAATTCACATCTTTTCAAGGATTCCAAAAATACCTTTAAAAATGTTTCATTACTAAAAATTCACTTATGCAAAAAGGTTAGTATATACTTCTAAAATATAAGGACTTATTTTTTAAAACTCTTAACCACAATATCGGTATCACCCCTAAAAAAATTAACAATAATTCCTGGCTAGGCATGGTGGCTCACATCTATAATCCCAGCACTTTGGGAGGCCGAGGCAGGCCAATCACTCGAGGTCAGGAATTCGAGACCAGTCTGACCAACATGGAGAAACCCCATCTCTACCAAAAATACAAAAATTAGCCGGGCCTGGTGGTGGGCACCTATAATCCCAGCTACTTGGGAGGTTGAGGCAGGAGAATCGCTTGAACTCAGGAGGCGGAAGTTGCAGTGAGCCGAGATTACATCATTGCACCCCAGCCTGGACAAGAGTGAGGCAACATCTCAAAAAAAAAAAAAAAAAAAAAAAAATTAACAATTCCTTAGTATCTTCAAACATTCTGTCAGTGTTCAAACTTTCACAATTGTCTCATAACTTGGCTAGGCAATTAAAAATCTGATTTAAAAAAATGGTGCAAAGGAATATAAGTACTTCTGAAACTGATTTTTACGAGCTAATTAACCCTTGACAGCAAGCCTCATGGGAAGGTTTTGGGACAAATTATTATTGCTTTGTGGTTCCCACCGTGTCCAGCATATAACTTACTAATCTTTTACTAAGTGTCGACAAAGGAAAAAAACGCACATACTTTCCTGAAAGCGTCCATCCGATCAGTGGCTTTCCCAATAGCAAAACCTTTAAACAAAAAAGCAAAAATAAGAAAAGAGACAGAAATTTGGCCCACGTGGTTTTTGCCACATTTCAAGTTTCTGCTCCTACAATATTTCATAGCACTTCATCTTTCTACCACCCACAAAAGACTTGCTATATAAAACCAGTAACAGGCTGGTGTGATGACTCACATCCGTAATCTCAGCAGTTTAGGAGCCTGAGGTGGGACGATCGCTTGAGCCCAGGAGTTTGAAACCAGTCTGAGCAACACAGCAAGGCTTTGTCTCTATTAAAAACAAAATTTAAAAAATTTGCCACGCATGTTGGTGCGTGACTGTGGTCCCAAATACTCAGGAGGATGAGGTGGGAGGATTACTTGAGTTTAGGAGTTTGAGGGTACAGTGAGCTATGACTGCGCCACTGCACTCCAGATAAAGCAATACCCTGTCTCAAAACAAAACCAGAACAAAAAAGCTAACAATAACAAAGCATGAGGTTACAGAGATCTGTTCTGAAGCATCCTGGAAATAACAAACTTAGATGTATTTATAAAACCCAAGGTTAGACGCCACCTTTTAAAAATAGATAGATAAAATACACTTAATTTTTAAAAAATTAAATATATTCTAAATTAATTAGGCAAATCACTTTGGACATTTAAAGATAGATTAAAATAATCAGAAAGGGGCCAGGTGCGGTGGTTTACGCCTATAACCCCAGCACTTTGGGAGGCCAAGATGGACAGATTGCTGGAGCTCAGGAGTTCACAATGAGCCTGGGCAACATAGTGAGACCCTGTCTCTACCAAAAATACAAAAATTACCCAGGCATAGTGGTAGGTGCCTGTAATCCTTGCTACTCAAGAGGCTGAGGTCGCGGGATCACTTGAGCTCAGAAGGTTGAGACTGCAGTGAGCCGTGATGGTGCGACTGCACTCCATGCTGGGTGACACAGCAAGACCCTGTCTCAGGAAGGAAAAAATATCAGAAAGGGTGGGAAAAAACATCCACTGCTAGAGAGTAAAACCATGATTTCAATGGAACTTCAAATGGAATCCACATTTTAATTAACCAGGAAACCAAATTAATGACTTTAGTTTCTGAACACTTCACTAGGAAATACAATTTACCAGCCGTTACAGAGACACTGCCATTATTTGCTGCCACTGTATTTTGTTTTGAACAACGTGCTTTGTTTTTAAATCATACATGGGAAAATAACATAAAACAACACTGTTCCATAAGACACATGGGACCTCTGAGCTATGGGACAAAAGAGGCTGCGAATGCCAGTTCCTGGTTTAAACAAAACAAACTAAACCACGGAATCCTAGAGGAAAATACGGGGAAACTTACTGACATTTATAATCTTCAAATGAGGCTTTCTAAGCAAGACACAAACCCGAAGTGGTAACTAATATTTATAACCCAGTAGTGATACAAGACTGATAAATTTGCCACAGAGCTTAAAACTTCTGTGTGGAAAAAAATTAAAACCTAAGTCAAAATATTTGACTAACAAAGAGGTAATGTCCTTAACTTATGAAGAGCTTATACCATTCAATAAGGAAAATAATAACCACCCAATAGAAAAATGAGCAAAGCACATAAACGAACAGATCTCAAAAAGGAAATAACAACAGCCAATAAACATGTAAAAGGGTGTTCCAGCTCTCACTTTAAAAAATAAAAGTCAGCCGGGCATGGTGGCTCAAGCCTGTAATGCCAGCACTTTGGGAGGCTGAGACGGGCGGATCATGAGGTCAGGAGATCGAGGCCATCCTGGCTAACACGGTGAAACCCCGTCTCTACTAAAAATACAAAAAATTAGCCGGGCGTGGTGGCGGGCGCCTGTAGTCCCAGCTACTCGGGAGGCTGAGGCGGGAGAATGGCGTGAACCCGGGAGGCGGAGCTTACAGTGAGCCGAGATTGCGCCACTGCACTCCAGCCTAGGCGACAGAGCGAGACTCCGTCTCTCAAAAAAAAAAAATAAAATAAAAGTCAAAACTGAGAGATTTGTTTCACAGATCATACTGACCATCAGTAAGGTTTGATGATACCCGAAGCTGGCAAGGGTGAGATGGTGTAGAGGAACACAGACATTGATGTAACCTTTTGTGGGGAGGCAATCTAGCAATATTTATCAACACTTAAAATATGTATAACCTTGGGGCAGCAATTTCACTGCAAGAAATTTCCCCTATTGATATACTTGCAGCAGTAAAACAAATTACATATACATGAACCATACTGTTTTTTATAATTAGTAAAAATTTGGAAACAACATAAATATTCAGCAACAGGGAAAAGGTTACAAAAATTATTCATGGACAATGGAACACTTTGCAAACAGTACAGAGAATCAAGGAGAATGTTTATGTTAATCTGAGTATTAATATCTCTGAATATAATACTAAGAAAATCAAGGTGCAAAATTATGGCTATAATGTGATTCCTTTGTGTAAATTTTTTTAAAGATATGTGATAATAATATGAACATAAAATTTAGGAAAATTACAAAAGTAGCTGTAAGGCCTGGTTTCCTTTGGCCACATACTATATACATGTATTACTTTTGTTTTGAAAATGTCAGTATGGGCTAACGAGGCCATTTTCCTGTGTTCCTTTCCTTCAAAAGACATGAATACATTTCAAAAACAAGTGTCCACTATGGTAACTATACACAGGAGAAAATTTAAATCATCAGCAAACCTACTAATTGGAGTAAACACTATTAACCTTAACAGTGTATAGTTTTCCAGTCTTTTCTTGGCATATAAATATACTTAAAAAAAAAAAACAAAAACTAGGATTTGATATGGTCTTATATAAAGCTTTTGTGTTCTTTTAACTTAGCATTATAAGTAATTTCCCATAATTCTTTAATGGATACAGAATATTACACTGTATGGCTACACTGTTTTTATAACCCTGACCCTATCAAACATTTAGTGTTTTTCTCCCTAATTTTCCACTATTACACATAATAAAATGTCTTCAGCCTTTTATAATATTCCTTTTTCTCAGAGGAAAAGGCAAGTATAGTAGAGTCTATTCTCTCTTTTCTAGGGGAAGTCATGGGCTTACCACAAGCTTTGTGAACTCAAACCACTAAAAGGTTTAATCAGCAGAAAAAGTCTGGCCAGCAGTATGAGCCCACGGGCTCCACAGCACGGCCCCATGCCACGCTTGTCCCTGCGTGTCACGCCTGTCCCTGCATACCACTGCCACTGTGCAGCCACCACTCCCCATTCACCTGCAGCTCCTTTTCCGTTCCCCACAGCCACCAGGACACGGACCGATTTCTTTCTTCCCTCTTTCGCTGTCATATTGAAAACATTTCTTACCTAAAAGGCAAAATGTCTCATAAATATTGCACATTAAGAAAATGTGAAGGAGGGAAAGGGAGGAAGCCGCCTTCCTTGCAGGCATACACGGTGAACAGGCGCACACAGACACAGGCGCACCATCCTCCAGCTCCTGAGCACGGCAGCCTTTCTCCAGATGGAACCTCCTCCTGGACTGTTACAGGAAGAAAACAGAAACGAGACTTTCTCTTCATTCCACAGGCTTATGAGAAGCTTCAACTGAGAAAACCTTTAAAGGTATTTCACATTATACATCTCGACACACCCTATCTCAATGAATGCATCACAAGAAAGAAAAAAGTTGCTGTCAAACTTTGATGTAATTTATCACTGATTATAAGATGCATTCTAATGTCAGAGATGATAAAATGTGAGGAAAATATGCACCTTAGAAATTATGACGTGCAGTGTATAGACATAACCAGCACAGGACTGGCGTCTATGCTAACGATTAGCATATTTGGAAATACCGGCTTACTCCATGTATTTTTTTCTCATGTATTTAAAAGGCCAGGAACAGCTGGGCGCGGTGGCTCACACCTGTAATCCCAGCACTTTGGGAGGCCGAGGCGGGCGGATCACGAGGTCAGGAGATCGAGACCATCCTGGTTAACACGGTGGAACCGCGTCTCTACTAAAAATACAAAAAATTAGCCAGGCGTGGTGGCGGGAGCCTGTAGTCCCAGCTGCTTGGGAGGCTGAGGCAGGAGAATGGTGTGAACCCGGGAGGTGGAGCTTGCAGTGAGCTGAGATAGCACCACTGCATTCCAGCCTGGGTGACAAGAGCCAGACTCCGTCCCTCCCCAAAAAAAAACCCCAAAAAAGGCCAGGAACTACTGAACTGTTAACTAAACTGCTTACGTGGCAGCTGGCTCCCTGGTGCATAGCTGTCTCTTATCCCATAAAACAGGGTTAAAAGAAAAGGGAGCTTGAATCCACCTCCATGGATCTTACAGAAAATCACCCACATATATACGAATTATTCAAAGAGATTAACTTCCAAAAGCTGTAAGTGGGAATACCAAAGACATAATATGTGTTAACATTTTAAATCCTACAATGCAATTGATATTGAGGAAACAATACAGATAATCAGAGGCTCAATCACACACTCCATAAATGACTATTCCACATAGTATTTAACATTGAGCGTTCAGTGCCAGCTCAAAGGGAAGCTGACTATTTTAGAGACTGCTCCAGAGAGTGACAATAGCTTACCTGACACAGGCTTCAGTTTCAAGGGCCCGTGAGCAACTCAGAGACCATTTTCCCATCAAGAACCAGACATGCACCACAATTCTAGGCTTTCCACCCTGCCCAGGGCTCCCCGCAATCCCAGCTTCCCGCACAGAGTGCTAGATACAGCTGGTTTATATTCGAACATAGACTCCCAAAGCTACTTTAGCCTTAGGAGGGAGAAAATTTAAACCTCATCTCCAAATCCTGTAGTTAACAATATCACCTTATCATGAGACCTCAATGGTAGCCCCCCAGAAAAAAGAGGGTGGTAGTCAGAAGAGCCAGTGTCAAGTAACTGAAATTAAAGTTGCATAATTTCCTTCCCCAGATCAGCTGTGTGTCAGAAATAGTCACGCATCCAACGCCATCCCTTACAATTCCTCTTGCCCTGTCCCTGCCCCAACCACCCCAACCTCTCCAAAGGCTTAACCAGGTATTTAATTCTGCATGCCTACCTCAAGTACCCTGGTATCAAAATCCTCGTATGTTTCTGCAGGGAGAAAAGAAACAGGGATACAGATGAAATGTGTGTACACAACTAACAGGAAAGCATTTTCAACACAGGCACCATCACAGACCTTTCAGGGAGAAAGAATCTCAGATCTTTTGGTCCCACTCTCAAGGCCACGCCCCAGTCGCCCCTCATCACTACAGACCACTCCACCAGTAAGTTCATAACTCAGTCACTGATCTCCCCACCTGCATCCTCCTCCCCGTCCAACTGCCTCTCATCAGTTCCTGGCCCCTCCAGACCCTGGATCCCTGCTCTCCCTCCTGCTTTCCTCCATCTTTGCAGCCTCTCCCCGTCGACCAAGACACCACAGTCCATCATTTCCACCAGACCTTGTGATGCCCCCAACCCCTTCACCCTTTGCTCTCTCCACCACACTAGCAAGGCCTGAATCCATGCAGCTCTCTGGCCACTCCTGACCTGCTAGGTGCAGCTGGAAAGAAGTCAAAGTATGCACACACAGGGCCCGCTAAAAATCCATGGACCCCAGTTCCATCAAGTCCTCCCTGCTGCCAGCTGGCCTTTATGTACTTTCAATTCGGTCTCTCTCCGTTCACCACCGCAGCCATTTCAGAGACTCTCTACATTCTTTTGTTTTTTTAATATTTTTATCACAGACAATTTCAATCAAACAAAAATAGAACAGCAGAAAGCTTTACATATACATTAGTCAGCTTCCACACGCATCAACTCACAGCCAATCTTCTTTCCTCTAAACTCTGCTCAACTCTCACTCCGTTGGATAATTTTGAAGCCAGTTTCAGATATTCTACCTTTTCATAAAGAAACAATCTGGAGGCCAAAATCATCAATGCCCCCACCTCACTCTCCGCAGATGATTCCACCTCTTCCTCACAGACCAACTGCGGCCACATCACGCAACATCCCCACCTACCTTTCCACTACAATCCCACAGGCTCACCTGATCCTGCACCCTGCCCTTCCTTCTGTGAACAAGTGAAGCCATTTCTCCAGACTCCGGATCTGGGCCGTCGTTAGGGACTTGGTTCACGGATTTTGTTCTCTCCCCCCCATACCTTCATCCTCCTGACTGAAGCATTTTGATCAGTTCGAAGCATGGTCCTTGGAATTTCTCAATCTCTCCCCTCCTCTTTAAGCCAAACTTCTTAAGAAAGCAGCGAAACTCTTAACTATTTCTTCTTCTCCACTCATTGACAAGAACACGTCTCTTGGATGATGTTTACTGCTTTACATACTCAAGGAGGACGGAGGGAAACTTTGTTTTCAAATTTGGCCTAAGTATTTTCAATTTTTGCTTCATGTGTGCTTTTCCAGGGTTAACATGACAACTATCTGCTTTCCAGATTTCTAGACAGAAACAGCATTCCCAAGCCACGCTGCTCCACTGGCGCCCCTGTGGCCACCTGTGTTTTGGAAACAGTGTATCCTACAGGCAGCTCCTGCAGGTCCACAGGGCACATCCCCACATTTAAGGATCTGAGAAGGTACATGATAAACACCAGGAACCCAGTGCTTTCTATCCTGTTAGTGGAATACTTCTGCACTCCACAAAATACAGTTGGGATATTAATGTAATATGTTATTTCAAAGATGTTCAAATCTTTTTGGAAAAAGGTAGTACGAACAGACAAATAATAACACCACTTCAAGGAAATTCTAAACTACAAGCACTCTGTCACAAAGGCAAACAAAACCAGGAGTCTGCTACCTCCATTGGGGCCAGGGTCAGGGGGGCCAAGACTGACGCCTCCCCAGGAGCTTCCACTCCATCCTCGCTCGCGTTTAACCTTTATCTTCTTCTTTCGGTCCCACTCTTCTCTCTGCTGGATCATGTCGGCCTCCACCTTCTTCTGCTCTTCCTTGCTTCTTTGGGCGATGGTCTGCACTGCTCCATTTTTCATAAGAGGGACATTCAGACCAGGCCACAGAAAACCGTAATGCCCTGAAGGTTTAAAAATACAAATAATAATTTTTTTAAAGTACTCATTTGTCAAGTGTTAAAACGTCAGGCAATGCATGTACAGATAATGATGACACACTGTTCACTGGAGCTTCAGCTAACATTATTAACTTGGTAGGCCACTTGGCACAATCACAATTTTACATCTACTTCATGGTATTACCTAGAGAAACACTCACATATAGGTACAAGGCATATGGATGCTTGGACGAGGACGTCCACTGAAACATTATTTGCAAAGAGAAGAAATGCAAGTTATCTAAATGTCCAGCAATTATGGACTGGTTAAATGAACCACAGTGTCTCCAGCAGAGGAAACGCCCTGCACTAAATCAAAAGAACAAGGTATCGCTCTAGGTTCTGATGTGGAATGATTTCCAAGACCTATAATGGAGTGAAAAAAGTAAACTGTAAGACAGCATGTACCATGTGATATAATCTAAATTTTTTTTAAAAAAGAAGATACCTGTTTGTTTTTAGGTATTTATGTAAAAATTAATAAAAAATTAACACATAATACCTTTTGCATTAATCTTTTTGGGTATTTATGTATAAATAACTAAAATTTAGTAAATACCTTTTTAGGCATTTATGTATTAAAAAACTGAAGGAAACACACCAATATGAGGCCAGTGGTTTCCTTGAGGGAGACAACAGGATTGAAGAAGGTAGAAGAAGCATCCAGGGGGACTTCATGTTTCTCTATAATCTTTACATTTTTTACTGAGAAAGTATACATACATGATCCTTATAATTTAAAAAAAGTGTTAAAAAAATAAGATACAATAAAGAAAAACATCTATGTAGACACGCGATGCTGGAAGTGTGGTGCCAGGTGTTTTCTTTATCCCTGAAGGCCGTTACTATCAAAGACAGTTTGGCAGCAAGCACAGTACAAGATGGGCTGACTGAAGTACACTACACTATTTTTACTCTTCCAAAAGCATGAGTATAAACATTCATGTGTTCTAGGTGGCAACAAACAAAGGCCCACAGGCCAACTCAGTTCGTGGCTTGTTTTTGTACATGACGTTATACTGGTACATAGCGATACCTATTCGACTGTGTGTTGTCTGTGGCTGTTTCTGTGCTACAACAGCAGAGCTGAGCGGTTGCAAAACAGACTATGTAACTCACAAAGCCAACAACATTTACTGTCTTCCCTTTGCAGGGAATATTCGCCAACTCTCCATTTAGTCTCTGTTTTACCACTGATTACAACCTGCTTGAGGGCAGGCACTGCTACAGGAGTTGACACATAGGGACACTGAATGCTTGCTGAATGAATAAATCCATTTCTATGGGATTTTCCTCTCCCAGAATCCTGGGGCAATGAGTAAGTCAACGGGTTGAATTCTAAAACCATAGATCCTAGTGCCCTTCATGAGAAATGTTTTGATGCTTCTAGTCTGTAAAATATCTATAAAATCTAGGGTAAGAAACTTAAAAAGCACTTCAGCTATTTTTAAAAACAAGTTTACCTTCACCAATGATCTGACCCCTGTTCAGATCCTTTCTTTTCCTCTTTTTAGTTCTTTTGCCTCTTCCTTTTCTTGATCCGGCACCACTCTCCGCTAAAGCGCCTTTCCACAGCTCATCTGCAGTCACTGTAACGAAACAGGGTTTCTTTCTATAATTCTGTAGTTTTCAAGCAATGGTCTATGCTCTCCTATTGAATCATAAGAGAAGTGGAGGCCTGCTTACAGCTTTACCCACGCATCACTGAGGTGATGAAAGCAAAATTAAATCATTCTTTGCACACATCAAGACGGTTACATTTGGAAAGCCCAAGAAAGTCAATCCTATCACTTTCCTCCACAAAACTCTCACTAAATATTTTGTTTTCCCTCTAACGGCTTAAAAGCCAGCGTTCCGATCTCAGTTCTCCACAAAACTCTCACTAAATATTTTGTTTTTCCCTCTAACGGCTTAAAAGCCAGCGTCCGAATCTCAGTTCTCCACAAAACTCTCACTAAATATTTTGTTTTTCCCTCTAACGGCTTAAAAGCCAGCGTCCGGATCTCAGTTCTCCACAAAACTCTAAATATTTTGTTTTTCCCCCTAATGGCTTAAAAGCCAGCGTCCGAATCTCAGTCCTCCACAAAACTCTCACTAAATATTTTGTTTTTCCCCCAATGGCTTAAAAGCCAGCGTCCGAATCTCAGTCCTCCACAAAACTCTCACTAAATATTTTGTTTTTCCCTCTAACGGTTTAAAAGCCAGCGTCCGAATCTCAGTTGCTTACCAATAGGTTCGTTTCCCTGACATTTTACCAACCAGGATACAGGCGTCTTCCTGTCCTCTTGCCTCCACTATAACCACTAAGATAACCAATAACTATCCTTCCTAAGTATAAGTTTTCTAGTCCAAACAAGAATCAACATTTCAATCTGAACCCATAAATCTGGAACACAATCTATGGTTATAAAATCAACTGTTGGCCAAGTACAGTGGCTCATTCCTGTAATCCCAAAACTGTGAGAGACCGACGCAAGGGGGATCACTTGAGCCCAGAGTTTGAGACCAGACTGGACAACATAGTGAGACCCCATTTCTACTAAAACTTCAAATATTAGCCAGGTGTGGTGGCATGTGCCCGTGGTCCCAGCTACTAGGGAGGCTGAGGTGGGAGGGTCACTTGACCCCAGGAGTTTGAGATTACTATAATCATGCCACTGTACTCCAGCCTTGGGGACAGAGTGAGACCTTGCCTTCAAAAAAAGAATGGTTCCATTACCAATTTCTTTAATAAAGAATCAGAACCACAAAATGTTGTAATAGTAAAAAATCTAAGACACATTTATATCTATATACCTGAAATACTAAACAAATTGTAGAAGACAAACGAGTACCTTTATTCTCTTATGAATGCTCAGAGTTTAAAAAGTCTACCTACTTGCTTCCTGCAAGGTCTTACGTTGATCCTCTAGGTAGATAACACGAAAAGAGAAAAATGTTTTAGGTTTATAATACTTTTAAATGCTCTATATCTGTACAGCATCCAATTTTTCAAAAACACACACACGTATCACAACTGGTCTTCGTAAGCGAGGCTCAGAGAAGTGCGATTCCACGTCGCATGTTGCTTTGGACATCCCTGATCAGAACAAAGGATTCAGCTCATCTTTAAGCTGACTCGAATTCACTTTAAAAGACTACAGGCTCAAAATAAAAGTACCAACCTCCAACCAAACTCTCACTAACGATTCGATTTTTCTCCATAAGTGCTAAAAAATGGTGGTACCTATAAATGCCATGGAAAACTTGAAATTCACTTGTAATGGAGGCATACTAAGAGGCCAATCAATCACAGAGTTTTCTTTCACTTAGAATCAGAACTCATAAATCACTCATTACGATTAAAAGAGACTCAATTTTAAAAAGAGCTTGACATTGAGACAAAAATGTAAGCTCTTTCATATATATAGTAAGAGAAAAATAAAATATTTAACTGCATTTGAAAAAGACAGCAAAGTCATTAGTCAATCTTTGAATGCCACTATGCTATTAAAAATGTTTTAATCCTTTTTCAAATTATAAAAGTTATTTTTTTAAATCTGGAAAATACAGAATGCAAAAATAATCATAATCCCATTACCACTGTTAGATAAGAATGTGTATTCTGCCTTTTTCTTTACACATGCATACATAATATATATTTAAGCAAAATTATACTACATGCACATTTGTATCCTGTTTCTTAATTTAACATTACATTATGAGTCTTTTCCCATATTCTTAAATATTATTCACCAACACAATTTTGTAATGGCTACAAGGTGAATTAAGTTCTTTTAATAGAAATTTTACTATTTTCACATCAGGTCTAAGATTCTAAATAACCTAAAAGGCTAGTTAGAATACATCTACTATTATTTCAATTCTTTCTGTCATTTTTCCATAAGGGTGCAGTTAGGTTAATACATACACCTATTACTATTATAGTTATAAAAGATTAAGTTCATGTTCTTTTTTTTTGAAACGGAGTATCACTCTTGTCGCCCAGGCTGGAGTGCAGTGGCACGATCTCAGCTCACTGCAACCTACGCCTCCCGGGTTCAAGAGATTCTCCTGCCTCAGCCTCCCAAGTAGCTGGGATTACAGGTGCCCGCCACCATGCCCAGCTAATTTTTATATTTTTAGTAGAGACGGGGTTTCACCCTGTTGGTCAGACTGCTCTCGAGCTCCTGACCCCGGGTGACCCGTCCACCTCAGCCTCCCAAAGTGCTGGGATTACAGGTGTGAGTCACTGCACCCGGCCTCATGTTTTTTATATATATACACATATACATAAATCCACTGTAGTGTTTAATCTCATACACTGAGTTATTTCCCTCTTAATCATGCTAAGTAACACAGATTGCCAATTTGAATCAAAAGGATTTAAACAGTGGATCCTCTATAGAAAAGAGATAGGTTTACAAGAACAAGATTCGATACTCATAGGAAATCATTTTTGAAAAAGTGTGTCCTTCTATTTCTTGGAGATTCAGAAATCAAAGACTATTTCCTACTGAAACAGTGAAAACTAGCCCCATGCTAGTTTCAACTGAGCTGGCCCCAGTGAAGCAAATCTTACTACGACTTGGAGCCATAAAC